TCATAGCTTTGAGCCCTGTACCGCGGTAGTTTCGGTTTCGGTTTGTTGACATCGGATTGAATTGGATTTCGTACCTGCAAGGTAGAGCGCAGAAAAACAACCAACGACGGACAAACAATGTTTTTCTTAACAAGAAATAAACTTAAAATGGTAAGTTTTTATGCTTTTAAATGTTTTAAAACTATTGTGAGCAATAATAGTACTAATATAAACTAAGGCAGATTATTTCTTCAATTCAATCCAATCCTTATAAACCCGCGCCGCTGGCCAGCCAGAGCCGTATATTGGGAGAGTTTGGCCAGTGGGTGTGGCGACGAAGGCGCCGGAGAGGAGCAAAGTTAATGAAAGGGAAGAGAGCGCCGAAGGAGCGAGAGAGAAAGAAGGGAGCAGAGAGGAGACGATCGCCATTTTTTAGCAACGCTGTCGGAGACTGGTCGGAGGAGAGCACTGCTGAGGCTACGCGTCGTCTGCAACGGGCCGACTTCTTTTTCGCCTGAATAAAGTTTTGTGGCCATACGCCGAGAAATCTTCATTTATTAGCTTTTTAACCCACCGAGGAAAAACCGAATGTCATTTTCTTGCCAGAGCCAGCGATATAAAAGGCAGTAATCGAGATTTAGATGCCGATCCCACGCATTCCGCCCATAGAGTAATATACACAAGGTAAAGAGCGGACACTGCCATAGGCGCCAGCGGCCCAGATAGACCAGTGACAGGTAGCGCTCCTAGCGGACGGTATTAAGTATAATCTGATTTCCGTTTCCGGTCAAGTTAGTTTCGGTTTCGGTTTGGGCGTTTTGCTCCGTTTCTCCGGTACCCTTCTCTCTCTCTTTCCTCCCCACGTCGCTCGGCTCTCGGGAGCTCCTTGACTCCCGAAGCCGCTGTTTTTTGTTTTTTTTGCTTTTTTAAATACTGACGCATTTTTGCTTTATTTTTTTACGATAGAGTCCGTGCAAAATGTGTCAAACAATATTTCAACCTACTTCACAAAGCAGAAGTATATATATTTCTTGTTCTTTTTCTGTTGTAAAGCATTCAAGTTAGACAATTGCCGCATTGACTCCTGGCTGGTGGAGCATTTTGGGTTCAACAACAGTAAGTGGTTCGAACACATTTTATTGGACCACATTCATGTATACATAATTTACTTCAGAAGCTCTGTATGTTTTATACGAAAGAGATCGAAACTCACAAAAATAAATGAATATGAAGGACTTCGGCATATCGTACACTTCGTAATAGATTCTTAGCGGAACCAACTTAACAAAACCTTTCCACGGACAACATGCTGTATGATACATTCACTTTCACGCCGACTCGGGTACGGGAAGTAAGTGCAAAAATAAATAAGACATCGCTATCATTACCAGTCATAAGAGTATAATAACAGTGCGAAGCACATACCGGATAGTACAAATTCCCGATTTCCGGCAAATAAAAAAACACCAATTTGCATAGCCTCAAACTCACTGCGGGCGAGCCATTACCAAACAATGAGAACTCTATTCGAAATCTGACAGGATTCAACGTCCCTAAACATTCCCCGAAATTGTTCAGAAAAGAAATATGGCTTCAGAAAAAAGGCGGCTAAAAAACTATGGACAGTGGATACAAAAATGGATACATTTTCTTTCAAATATTTTTAGCCTCTATACACTATTTTCTATCGAAATTTTGTAGAAAGTGGACAAATATATTTGTTTAATGTTAATACACTATTTAACTGTTAATACACTATTAACAGTTAAACCTGTCTCGTTCTTACTAGCCACTGAAGAGTGCAACCGAACTTTGTACAAATTCCGGTTAAGAAATCAAACATGTCAACACAAGCGTATTCTGCAAAACAATTTTAAAAACCGTTTGTGGTACTCCTCTGGACAAAGGCTAAAACAACCCAGACCTCAAAGTGTGCTATACAGGGCGGCACACACTCCTCGAACATGTGTCCCACTCTCTATTATGGGAAGAAAGCAATTTTCTAGTTGCTGAATGAAATGAAAGGCAGCCTGTGATGGTACTACTAAGTTCCCGAAGAATTTTCCAGGCACGTGGTATGCTTTAGGAGCTAGACAGTACTGGTGAGGCCTGGTCAAGTTAGTAGACTCATCCGGTAGCAGCTGAGAACAGCCACAGCTGTAAGTTGTCTGTTAAAGCAAAAGCTTGAACAAATAGCCCCAAACGTAATAAAAAAAGTGGACGAGTCATCAAATATGTTAGACCTGATGTCTGATGCCAGCTCAGAAATATCCTCTAGCGGCGGGAAGTTATCACTTGGAAGACATTCCACAATGTCTGAAATTAAACTTTCATGGTGCGAAGATATTTGCAACTCCTTTAGGAGGTCAGCCTTGTCATCCTCTACGTTTTCATTGTCCGACAGTTTGAACAGTTTCTTTATCCAGAGGTGCTTTAGTCCTGAGGTGAACTGATGCACATTTGGGTTTGTGTTGCAGCCCAGCATTTGTCGTATATAGCTCCAAAAACGTTCTCAAGTGTATCTTGCTGCAGGCGTCGTGTAAGTAAGAACTTAAAGTCATGGCTGCTTGGCAGCTCATCCCAGAGAATAAGGACACTTTTAATAGAAACTTGCCACCCAATGATGGCTTATGGCTGCCCCCTACTTTGGAACTGCCATGCTGAAATCCATCCGAGTTACTGGGTGAGAAAATCAAGTATTTCAGATTCCCCTTCAGAATGGCATGACGCAACTTCTGCCCTGTCTTTTTAAATTTTTTAGCTTTTTCGACAATCAAAAAGTATGCACATCCTATCACAGAAATAGGCTGTAGCCATGGCTGCCTCAGGAAGTTCCTTGGCATAAACAAGGGATATGATTGCAAGAAAAAGTGAGGCACTCAGCACCTGTGGGGCACAATTTTCTTCCATGTTACAGAAAGGTTCTTAAAAAAATGTGTCTCTCAGTAAGTTTCGGAGCCAATTGCAAGCTCATCTCATGGATAGAAGAATGAGGTTCAACAATAGAAGACCACTCAATGACCTCATTTTCAATGCAAAGTTTGTGGGCTTGGAGATTGCTCTTGGTTGTTTTGGGAAGGTGCGGAACATCAAAGACAAAGTAAACGTGTTCGTTGTCACCTTCAAAAGATGGCTTATCACCACACACACCAAGCTTACGTTTGAAGCCCCCTAACCACAGACCACAGCCTTTAATGTGAAGCCAACAGTCTTAAAGGAGCGATGCACTCATATTTGTATTTTGCGCAAATACCGCTTAGAACGAATCCCTGACGTTAATGATCTGTGAAATATCCGTTCGTTTTTACCACACGCAGTCGAAGTCGCAGAAAAAAATAAAGAAAAACGAGCAGAGTTCACCCCCTCAACTCGCAGCCAGAACAAGCGGCCCCGTGATCAGGAGCCGATTATATGCCGCCAATGTTGATCATAGCCATGCGCTGGGGTTCGCAAGGCACAGGACACGCGCTGAGTTCCAGACATTGTTATGGTTCGGCTGTTGTCGTCATTGCAGCGATTGGACACAGCCCGTATGTTTCTCGAGCTATCGATTATCACGAGCCCAAATCGAGTGTCCACGCCATGCTCGGGACCAATCTATGCGTCGTATTCAAATATCGTCACTGGGTGGTACTGCTACCGCTCAGCTACGTCATTAGGTTTTTCGAAGGAGAGATCGAATGAAAACACTCGGTTTTGTCCTCGAAATTACAGCGCAACAAAGGAGTTAATTTCCTGGTCAGTGGCGTTGCGTGCGAGTATCCTTGAGTCCCACTAGTGCGAGTAAGCTCGTGTAAAGTGAAAAACATTCCAATTGAATATCGTTGCACCGCTCCTTTAAGCTCCCGAATGAGAGAAATAAGGAGACAGCGTTAAACAGAAGACGTTGTTGGAGTGTGCACAACAGTGTATGCAAGGGGCTAAACGCACCTCCTGGAAATTTGAGACAGCATAACAACTAGGGCTCTATCTGCCATGTTAGAGGTTCGTTCAACACCGTCATCTGTAAACCCATGGACATTGTCGTGTGCAGGGCCGTAAGTTAAATTCTTTTTTTTTTTAAATCAATATCATCGAAAATCAACATGCACACACGTTCAAGTCAAGCGAAGACAGCCCGGCAGAAACAACAGCGCGAGAAGCTCGAACCGATCGGCTCCACGAATTCACGCCGAGCATGCGAGCACGCGGGCGGTCATGCGTCACCTTGATTGATGCAAAGTCGACCGAACATGATGCAGCAGAAAGCACAGATGGACGGCACGCACGGGACAGACGAACGACGCAGAAACGAGCAGAGGCCATGCAGAATGATGCAGAGGCGACGGCGTGCAGGCAGGCAGGCCATGGCAGGCGCCATTCATCACGTGGTTTTTGTGACGTATTTGATTTAAACTATTTAGTCGTTTTAAGTACTTTAAACAATTTTAAAGCATTGCCATTTAAAAATTAAACACTTTTCACAGAAAGAGTTTTAATTAATTTTAACCAAATTGCAGAAAAGCGCCACGTAGCGGAGGGTATTAAACGCACTATCTGGGCCGCGAATCGGCTCCTGTGTCCTCTCTTTACGTTTACTATATTACTCTATGTTCCGCCGGGATAATGATCGAAGATGGCGGCCCTCCCCGCTCAGGTGAGAGCAGCCGGTAGTTCACGTGCATGCGCTCATGCCTCTCGCTCTACGCCGCGTGTTGATTGGCTCACTCGGGAGGAGAGCGTTACGGCAGCGAGATCATAGACCACAGAGCCATATACGGCTCTGTGGCCAGCTGGCCAGCGGCGCGGGTGCATATGGATTGGATTGGATGAGTGAAGGGCTTAGTGCTCTGAACCAAAGCCGCATTGACGTTAGGGCTATCTCGATCGGTGTGTATGTACTAAGCATACTAAGCGTACTAAGCGTACGTGATTTATGTTGATGGCGCGAAGGCAATAGTCAGCGTGGACCGTATCAAGAAGTTCAAGCCGGCGAGCGTTGGCGACTTCGACCCCGACGTGCCGCAAATCGTCTACTGGGAGGCTGTTGGAGCGTGCGCCGGGGAATGGTAAGTTGTTTTCTACGCATCAGGGGCTCGAAGCACAACGTTTCTTGCAAACCGTTAATAGGGAGTTTTCGTAGATCATTTTCGCCATCCCGCGACGCCCTCCGCAACCAGCTATATACCTGGAACTCTACAGTCAAGGCTATCGGCGTGCAGGCGCAGTAGTAACTTCTTCGTTGCGGAAAGTTTAGAAGAGGGGGAAACGCGGTCTACGAGAACTCCCTAATGTTCGCGAGCCCCTAATTTTTGGCAAATTCTACACGTCCCAAAATTAGCGAAATTTAAGGACACGTGGAAAGCGGAAATTTGGTGGGCACCCGTTCCGGCGTCCCCCGTTCCGGCGTCTAGAATTCGCGAAATGTGGTGGGCCCGAATATGTCCTTGCGGCGGATTTGTAAAGAACTGGGCGGCAAAAGCAAAGGGTGTTACATTGCTGAACTACAGGGCGCTTCAGATGGCAGCCACGACATTTAAAGTAAATCACAACAAATCGGCTTTGTAAGCTACGACAACTTTACCACACAAGTTCGACTAGGTGGTGCATTTAATTTGTAAAAATATAGAAGAAAAGACTTGTTGAAACAAGGGTTATAGCGCAGGCTAGCTGGTGAACGCTCATATTTATAAACTTCGATACATGGGGGGGGGGGGGGGGGGAAGGTGGACAAAAACGACTTTGAGATGTAGCTCGGTGTGCATGTTTTGTCTTACACAGACACGAGGTGAGCTGGTTGCTGCTTTGAAAAAGAAGCACGTGGCCATCCCTATGATATTGGACTCAAGGTTCGAGGTAAGTTGGTTCGAGGTAAGCTGCCTTAAGTTCGTCTTTTGTGTCCCTTTTTCAAATCGGCACCATACTTCACTTCTGTTACCAGTGGGCAGTAATGGCGGGTAAAATTGCACGGTTAGGCTAAGGAATATCTTGCATTTTGTTCCCCTCAAGAGTAATTGTGTCCATTCATTATGGCTGGTCAGGACTATTTGTATAGACATTTTTCTTTAAATTGCTTGCTATTCTGTTACACAGATCCGGTGGGTAGATGCGCTCTATAAAAGTGGACCACAAGCCGCACTTTAACATACAGAGCCGCAGCTTGGCCACTCGTGGTCTCGATTGTGCTGTAGCCGAATTTGTACGTCTTCAATATTAAGAGATACTCTCCTGCTTGTTTCTCGACCGCATTATATGTGATTTTGACCCTTTTCAATCGTACGAGGCGTCCTCACCTGCTCTAAGTCTCAATCTCGTTGAACTCGAAGGTGCATCTCTTCTCCACTATCGCAAGACGTCCTTGTTTGTTTGGCGTCCTGCTTGCGTTGTAGCCAAAGTTTCCTCTTTTGAATCTTTTCATCCGCTTCGATGGTCCTCTTGTTGCTACTTTCCTCTCTAGCATTCAACAAACATGTTTCATGTTGTTCCGAAGTGCCCTAGGCACTTTGATGTCGCTGTGCCTCAGGACGCTTGCGTGTATGTTCCTCTGGTGAGACCTGTTTTCGCATACCGACAACGATAGATAATGCTGAAGTCTGGTTCACAGAGCTCTCCTCAGATGTGGCTATGCTCGACTGCGACCAGATGTGACACTCATTGTTATGGCAACAACGGCGTTGAGTCACTGGCACGTGCATCAACGCAGCTCTTGCCTGCACCCAGTACTAACTCTTTCGCAAAGGCTTGCCCATATGTGCTCGTAGTGAAGCGGATACGATGCCCGGCTTAGACCCCACCAGTTGTGGGTTTGAGGCACAGTGCCGGCGGCATGTTTTTCTTTTCTGAATTATAATGTGCCGGCACATGCTGTTTTCAAAAGCAGTTACAAATCCTCGGACCAATAGAGGCCTAAAGTGCATAGGGTTTGCTTATAAATGCTATCGTATTTAAAAGTACTGGATTGCAAGTACAAATTAACTGAGAGTTTACGTTCCTGATAGAAAGTACACTGGGTGCAAAGTAGTATAATCATAATTTACTTTCTAACTAACTGAGAAGTACCTTTTAACACAATATTTTATCATACGATTTCGTTTACCTATACAGTGTTTTCTGCCAACAGGTACACACAGCGCAAACAGATACACGTATCGTCCTTTACACACTAGAGTGTGTAAAGGACGATGTAGCAATTATTTCCTGAAATGACAGTCAATACCGGATATATGGTCATGGGCATCTCGAAGCATTCTTTCAGGGGGAGGGGGCAATCACAGGTATAGGACTGAATCATGCACCTAGAAAATAAAGGGGGGGGGGCAATTTAATGTGAACTATGTGTGTCCGAATCCTGTGTTGGAAGTTTATATTAAATGAATATTGAAATGCGTGGACCTTTTTTCTTTTCCAGATTGAGATGTCGCCATCCCCTGCAGTGGGTGGCAATACAAGAAAAAAGAAGACGGAGGACAAGACCGCCACTGTGTCGCTTGTGGAGCATGCCTGACTGGTTGCAAAACTGCGGTCGGCAAAGCAGAGGGTGGTGAACCTAGAGCAGGAGCTCTAGATAGAGAGGACGCTATCAGGAAGACTGCAGTAGCAGCTGCTGGCACTACTGGGTAAGCGTGGAGGCGCTTTCAGTTGCCCACCTCACACACGACACATTATGTGCTCGCACTTTATCTGAGGGATCAAAAGTTATTTTAATTTTTTTTTTGTCGCAAACAGAAGCAAGCATATACTACAGGGTGGCTTCAATGTATCAATGAGTTGGTGTCTATAATTCCCTTTTCTTCTCTTAGGGTGCAAATGGAGTTTTGAGAGTTTGTTTCTTGTTGCTGATGGCGATGACCCCGTTTTGCTTGGCAGCACTGTTGTTTTGACAGAAGAAATCTTTTTTGCAGTTCGTCAAACAATCATGTCCACACCAAGACACCATGTTCTGTGCGCATAGATTAGGCCTGAAGTAAAAGTTTGTTAAGTCGGTCACAACATTGTAAATATGCACTTTCCGGTGAGCCCGGCCAGCGCACGTCCTTTCGACATTGGGGACAAAGGACTTCTTTTTGTTGAGGAGGAGGGAGTGAGGAAGCTGGTCGTAGGCATGACCACAGCACCAACAAGGCTGAACTTTAATCGGGCGGCAAATTGTGCCTAGTGACGCAACTGTGCAACTGGTTAAAAGGTGGCCAGACAATCTGCTACAGCATTGGATTTCGTCAGAAAGATTTAGCTTATATCTCGCAAACCGTCGGAAGTGCTAGGTATGAATATTCATTAGCTATTCACCGTTATTTTTTTGTAAACATGCTCTCTGCCGCCCACTGCCGGCAAATTTGAACGCATTTCCTTTTTTCCTCTTTTTCGTTTTTGGTTTTGTGTCTCGTCCTTTTTTTTTTGTGTTCTGCTCGCACCACTTTTCCAGTCCCGGTGTGTTACGGAAAACCAAATAGGCACACTACCGATAGTCTTCTGTGGCATGAAGTACTATGCAGCCCTCATGCCATCAACGGACCAGGAAAGTGCTGAAGTCCGAATAACCAAGCATGTCTGAATTTTTGGCGTCCGAAAAATCTGTCGACTCCTCTAATGTGTCTTGTTTCTAAACAGTGTTTTATTATGTTGCGGTGGACAAAGTACCGTCTGGCGGTGTTGGGTCAGCTCCTCCAGCTGGTCCAGCAGCAGTTCCTGCAGCTGGCGCTCCTGTTCCAGTTCACGTTGTACGAGCTGGTGTGGATCACGCTCGACCCGTGCCGGCCGCTGATGCTGCTGTTCCAGCAGCAATTCTTCTAGCAGGCCCAGCGGAGGTACCTCCCGAGTGTGTGCCAGTGCTTGCAGAGGTCGATGATGAGGTAAGTTCAGTATTTCATTGAATATTCATTTCAGGTATTGGGCAAGTGACTACATTTTATGGTTTCCACAGCTCCTTGAATGAGGTTATTTGTATGCTTCCTTAAAGGGAACCTTAAATTGAACCATCGTCCTGCTTCAAAATGCTGATGAATGTAAAGAGTAGAACCGGGCATTGATAAGATATTTCTTCCCAATTAATTGGCGCTTTTCTGAAATGTTTTCTATCCAGTGTGCTCGTTTTATTTCGAGCTTTTACATAAATCGTGTACCACGAGCCCAGACTAAAATTCTGTTATAATTGGTACCCTTCTTTCGCTCTTCCTCTTTACTCAGAACTCACTTAAACGGACACTTACACCCCCCCCCCCCCCTCCCAAAAAGAAAAAAAGTTTCATTTTTTGCCAGGCGATTTATTATGGTGTCGAAAGACTACATAATTATTATTTTGCAACAGTGTCACGTATATTTTTATTAAAGCCAGAAAACGAAACTGCTCAGAACCGAAACTGAAACCCGTGCACGGAGGTCGGAGAAGTGGAGAGGAGAGAGTGAGTGGGAGAAGTCACGTGGCTACACCCGACTGTGAGCTTTTTGTTTTCCCTTCCGTGTCCTTTTTTTTTTGTGCGTGTACAGCAGACGACATGCATGGCTGGAACTGTTTGCTATGCGATTCCTTTGCAGTTATGTTTGTTCCGCTCTCTGTTCTGCACTTCAAGATGAGTTGTTCTGTACATTAAGAAGTTGGAGATGAGTAGTGAGTGCCCGGGGTGAATTTCTGTGATTGGCTCCGAAAAGAATACCCCCAAGATGTTGCGTGAAGAGCTGCCCCGCATGTCCTGCGTCCAAAAAAAGTGTCATTGTGCGGCATACGTCTGCACAAGTTTCCCAAAGATCGTGATTGGGACCAATGGCTGGCTGCATTTCCTGTCGAGCATTTCTGTCTATTTTTAGGTTCACCTTGGCCACGGTGTCTTGGTGCAAAAGTACAAACTGTCCTACGTCAGGGGAGCCCGGGGAGACTCCATCTTCGTTAAAGAGGCCACGAAGTTGATCTTCGGCAGGGAGGACCTGCATGGGCCGAGTGTGAGGGGTGCCATGACGGCGCTTCAAGGGCGCCGTGGCCGAGAGGGCCCTAACTCCAGTCAAGTTGGCAGCAGTCAGCAGTAAGTGCACACTTCTCACAGATGTCTCATACTTGGTGAGACATTCAAACCTTATGCTTCCGAAGTTGCAATCTGCTACGGCAAAATGAATAGGATAAAATATTCCAAGGCTTTCAGAACTTTCAGTGTTATAGGCTGTTGAAGGGTCACAGTTCGACTAGCTCGAGCGTTAGGAACGTGAAGTTTCGAGCGCAAAACCGAAACGAAGAAGCCCTATCTCCTTCTTTGTTTTTAATATATGAAGAAAAATAAAGTGACCTTATCACGGTCATCTAGGTCGCTTGGCGCTTTCTGATGTATTCACACTATGGAGGTTTTACAGCAACATGCTCCGCGTCGCGAATATCTGCTAATCCCTGCAAGTTTTGGGGGAGGTCCATGATATAAGTGGCCTGCTCGCAGGTCCTTCTGCTGGCTCCCCGGCGGAGCTGTGAGGCACTTATTTTTTCTTTTGAACGAAAAGCTGGCACTAGCAAAGTTGTGAAACGAGTCTGTTTGTCCACTAGAGCTGCTGCAACCGAACTATGTTTGGCTCTGTCCATTTGAGTACTGCCCATTTTTTTCTGAACTACCTTCTCATCGCGAGTATTCCTCCTATCACGTATGAATGGACCATTGAAGGGTCGTGACACAGATATTAAATTTGCTAAATGATTCTTGATGTCAAATCTGTGTTGTTAATTTGTATACATCCCCAGCACAACAATTGCGGCTCAAAATCTTTCTTTCGCACAAACACCGCCGGCCGAGAATTGTGTGTTCAATGTTCCTTTCACTTGTTTCCATGGTGACATTGTTGGGCATGAAATGTGTTCGAGGCTCTAGGCAATCGGAGGCCCATGTTCATAATTGAAAATACATATTTGGATTCATAGAACATACTTTCATTTTAGTTAAGAGGCAGGCGAGCTGGTTAAGGATAGACTTAGTAACCCGGGAGCGTGGGGACAAAAAGGGACAGACAGACATAAAGCTCCGGAGCTTCATGTCTTTCCGTTCCTTTTTGTCCCCTTCCTCCAGGGTCTATAATTTTTATAGACACTGAAATGCAAGGAACACACTGTTGCAAGCAAACTTTAAGTCCATAGTTGTGGGAAGTCACACTACGTCTTTTCGATTTGCTTGAACCAGCCGATATAGTTCAAATAGTGTAAGAACTGAGGCATTAGATTCAATGGAAAGTTGCTTGGACGCTGAACTGGCCTGTTCGATTTATCCCAGTGCTGCACGCGCTCAGCCCCAGTTCCACAGAATCTTGCGCTGGCTGAAGTCAGTTCAGCGTTCATGCAGTAACAGGTGGCAACTCCTCGGTCTTTCGGAAACCAATTACAGGGTCGTTTGTAACGCTGCAGCTTAACTTCACGCTGCCGCAGCCCGGCTTGTGCACTGGTTCTGCACTCCTCCGAACTCGGTCTGAACTGCTTCAAAACTTTCTGGCCGAATCATGCATACCTGCTGTTTTCAGCAGGCTGCGTAATCGTAAGAAGTTGCTCTTGGAGTCTACATGGTATCACAAGATATTAACAAAGCATAAATTGTAGTGGAAATTGCTTGCTTATAATTGCAGGAAGTGAAATATTAAATGTTTCGAGAAACTGTAGATATACATGACTTATTGTTGTATTATTTTCTCCTGCAGATGCCTTCAACGAGTACATATGGAGGCATCCTCGAGAGGCCTCTCCAGGGAAGAGAACAGCTCGGGTCTACCTACTGCAGTATGCCAATTTGTTAATATCCTACTGCAGGATATTAACAAGAAGCTTGACTTCTAAGCTTCCTTAGAGGTTAAGCTTCTTGTTGATGTTCTGCAGTATGCCAATTTGCCTTCACTAAACACACATATAACCTGAAATGACCTGGCTCATGCTCATTCTTTGCATGACAAATGCATGCGAATTGCTAAACCTGCGAAGATTCGTACGTCCGCATGCAAACGTTCAACACCATGTTGATTCCTATTACCGCGTCAGAATGGATAAACCTGTAAAGATATAGGTTTTTCTATCTGAACAGGTTAATCTGTATAAATATTGGTTGCTATATCTGAATAGGTCAACCTGTAAGGTACGGGTTCCTATATCTAAACGGGTCAACCCGTACAGGCACGGTTTCCCTTACCTAAAAGGGTCAACCCGTACAGGCACGGGTCCCGTATCTGAACGGGTCAACCCATACAGGTACGAGTTCCTGTATCTGAATGGGTCAACCTGTACAGGTACGGGTTCCCAGTAGCATACGGGAGACCTGTATCCCATAACACCGTATGAGATATACCGGTCAACCAGTATGAATTTTATACGAGTTTTTTCAGTAGGGCCTACACCCTTTTTACACGATTTCAGACACCATCGCTGCAAGTGGGGCATAAAGAGGGCGTGTAAACGGTGTAAAACATCAGCACACCCTTTTTACACCCACCGATATTCAGAAATCATGTAAAAAGCGTGTAAAAAGGGTGTTTTTCCTAACCTACACCCTACTTACACCCTTTTTACACGATTATGGATGTTACAAT